GACAGATTCCGACGGACACTTGCTGACTATACAACATTACTGTAGATTTGTACAGGATCATATTACTGTATTAACATAGAAACTATCAGTTCCGTTCCACGTAAGTGCGTGTGTCTGGGTGGCCCTAACTGCTTGAGCATACACGTACATGTACACATATACATACATCCACGCACCACCTATCTACTCGACCCGCACATAATATTTCTCCGGCAGCACAGGCGGTAAAAATGTTTCACTATAAGAATATTTCTTCTTTTTCATCTTCATATTCACGTCGATTTCAACCATATCAAAAGTTAAGCCACCCATTTCAAAGCTGTTCATGGTTCTGGCTCCGATTCCGGCGTCCAGAGGCCAACAAGACCTCGCGCCCGACTCTAAGTTCAGGAGGACTGCGATACCCCTTCTAACACGAAGTAGAGGCTTGTGCTCTTTTATTTTACACTTCACACTTGTGTTTGTTTGTTTGTTTTTTTTTTTTTTTTACTTAGATCCATCACTCAACGCTTGGGTGAAATGTTGAAACACATCGTTTCTAAAACACTACTACTGAACGAGGGGGAACTTTTGTATTATGGTTAACACTATCTTAGTAATGAAAGCCATCGAGTACAGATAAAGTCCAACTGTGGTATCAGACATCATTTCACTTTCATGAAAACAGGAAATTTCGAAACTGAAACCATCATCATCAACGCGGCGAGGGCGAGGAGCGAGCGAGGCCGCGCGACGGGCCGCTTCAGGCCGGGGAAGAGAGGAAAAGAGAGCGCGTCCGATTCTCTGGGATTCCTTCGACGAAGCCCAAGTCCCTCCACCTCTGCCCGTCGCTGCATGGACGACCTGGGGCTGACGGAGGGAAGAGAGGGGCCGAGCGGATTGGTTTGGAGGTAGCGGGAGGGCGATACGGGTGGCTGGAGGGCGAGTCGTAACTCTGCTCGCTCGGTCTCTCTCTCTCTCTCTCTCTCTCTCTCTCTCTCTCTCCTCTCTCTCTCTATATATATATATATATATATATATATATATATATATATATATATATTAATGTAAATATTATAAATATTTATTATATATATATATATATATATATATATATATATATATATTATATATATATATATATATACAAATATATGTGCTCTTCTTTTTCAGTCACTTTTCACCACTCTCACTCTGTACATTCTTTTCCTCTTCCTTATCCATTTTGTATCCCGTATTTTTCTTTCCTCCTCCTCCTCTCTTTTCTCGTCCCTCCCTCTTTCTCTTCTCTCTACTAGTCCCAGGAGCTCGCGGTCGCTGCTGGTCGCCGGCGGCAAGGAGGTGGGCGTGGCTAGGCCAAGCACATCATCTGAGGGCCCAGAAGGCGGCGGCCACCAAGGACCAGAGGCCGGGCGCGAGGGAGAGGCCGGGTGCTCCTCCGCCGGCCTTCCGTCTCTGTATTGCCGCCATCTTGTCGCCTGCGAAGGAAAAGAAAGGAAAAGTTTAGTCCGAGGTCTTGCCTATCGTCTCCATTCATTCTTGATTTTTTCCCCGAAGAAAAAGGTTTGCATATGATATAGTATATTTTCCTCCTTTCAGCAACACATGAGAGAAAAAGCCCTATGCATATTACCGACAACTCCCATCGTAATCTCTCAACAGTCCATTCACTCCTCCTGGTATCCTCGCAATCCTAATCCTCCTTCAACCCATCAACAGACCAAGAACCTCGACGCATCCCTACCATAGGACACGAAGACGTTGACGGAGGCGGAGCGGGTGTTGGAGGCGCTGCAGGTGTAGTTGCCGGTGTCTTCGTAGCGGGCGTCGGACACGGTGAGGTGCGACTGGGTCTTCTTGGGGCCTGTGTCCGTGGAGACGTTGATGCCGCCGCGCTGGGTGTCGTAGTTGATCATGTGGTCGTCGTGGTACCAGAACACGTACTGTGGAGGCGTTGGGCTCTGGGAGAAGGGGGGAAGGGGATTAGTTCGTGGGTGAAGCAACGGTTAAACGTGGGTAAGGGTTTTTACCTATATACTGAAATGTATGTTTACGTACATGAAAGTATGATCATGTGCTTGGAAGTTGTATGCATATATACATTACACACACACACGCACACACAGATATATATATACACACACCTATGTATCTATAGGTAGATAGATATATAAAGCATTTACAACCCATTCCATTTTTCAAATGCCACGCATAAAAGCTCTCTTCCCTTCCTTGCCCACTAAAGCTTTTAACCCTTTTCTTTGGCCATTTGCAAGAGATTAATCATGTGACGCGACCAATCACGTTTTCCTCTGAGGTTCCATACCCAACTGTACTACAATTCTGGCACGTGAGGCTACTGGATTCTCTCGTTTACTCACTCACTAACACTCACTTTTTCTCTTTCTCGCAATCATTCTTCTCTCTCTCTCTCTTTCTGTCTGTCTGTCTGTCCGTCTGTCTGTCTGTTTTCTCTCTGTCTGTCTGTCTGTCTGTCTCTCTTTATCTAGTAATCTATGTCTATCTCTATAATTTTCTTTCAGCAAGGCTTCTCCGTTTTTTTGTCCTCCTTGTCCCTGTCCCTGTCCCTCTCTCTCTTCCTACCCTTTGCACTCACCCTCTTCCCCCCCCTTCTCTCTCTCTCTCTCTCTCTCTCTCTCTCTCTCTCTCTCTCTCTCTCTCTCTCTCTCTCTCTCTATCTATCTATCTATCTCATATCACAACTGCTAATTTCATATTTCATTAAACAGATTCCAGTCACACGCTAACACAACTACACCCACACGTGATAAATCAGTGAATGAATCCAACATCCATCGTTATCTGCAATTCATCCCTTCTACACTTAATTACCTCATCCATATCCTAATGCTCTCAATAACAAACCTGTTTGATGACGCAAACGAGCTTGATAGCTGATCCGAGCTGTACATGGTAGTCAGTGTTGCCCAGGATGAAGGCTTGGGGGACCACCACGTGCAGATTCACGAACTGCGAAATCACTCCAGTTCCTGTTGACAGCTGGAGAAGGGTAATTCATTAATAACCAATAACATGCCTTGAGAATATATACTAGAGTGCATCTGCTAAAAGATTGATAGGTATCCAAAGTTCAGTTGATGTGAGATCTAATCATTGTCCTGTTGCAGGCACGTAATGGGATCATATACAGAATCGACGCAGATATGTATACTAAAACATCTTCGACACTTCCAATATAAGCTGAATCCAACAAACGGTCTTTCCTCTCACAGCGGCACACGCATTTGCCTCTCTCCCTTAAGACATTCTCTCCATTCCTCCCACTTTCTTCGTATCCAAATTTCCTCTCGGGCATAATCAGGAATCCGGGATGTGCCTGAAACGGATCTGTGAGGCCGAGCGCGCTTTATGGCATTACGTTGCTGCAGCAGAGGCTTCGAATGGATGGAAAACGGCATTGTGTGATTCACTTTTTTTTCATTTCTTCCTTAACTTTTGCAGGTTGTTGTTACCGAGCCGCTGCGTTCTGCCCGTGACCTGATTGGCTTGTGTCTACCTGGCATTAAATTCAAATCTCACGCCACCGTAAGCAGCACGCAGATATCTTCACGCTTTCCCATTGCTCAATTCCGACTTTCGACAAAGTTTGAGAGATCAAAAATGGGATTCCATATTACACGACATTTCGATGAACAAGTATTTTCACTTTGCGGAATACCAAGCTGCTAACTTGTCAACAATTATGGGAAATGAAAAGGCACAATTATTCCCCCTTTTTCCATTCAGAGAACCATTTTCAACGAACTCATTAATTCCCTAAAAATCAAGCACTCAGTAGGACGTTCTCCAACCACCCGACAAGCAATCCACGACCCAGTCTCCCGGCTAATCACCACGCCATTCAGTCAATTTCTCTTCCCACCATCCTACAGAAGGATTTCCAACGTTTCCCACTGTGTTCCAGGCTGTCCTTCCTCTCCAGCTCGGGGAGGATTGGATATATGGGGGCATTAGACTCGTGTACTCGGGGTTTTAAACAGTTAATCGCGAGGAGACAAATTCAGGTGCTGTTCAACAGGCACGAACCATTGGGAGAATTAGTCCCATTAGCACTGAAGTGGGGAGAGTGAAAGAGAGGATGAGGAGTGAGGAGAGAGCATCGAGGAAAGGAGGGGGAAAGGAGAGAGGAGTAGAGAGAGAGAGGAAAGAGAGAGAGAGAGAAGAGAGAGAGAGAGAGAGAGGAGAGAGAGAGAGAGAGAGAGAGAGAGAGAGAGAGAGAGAGAGAGAGAGAGAGAGAGAGAGAGAGAGAGAGAGAGAGAGAATGAGGAGAGAGAGAGAGAGGAGAGAGAGAGAGAGGAGAGAGGAGAGAGAGAGAGAGGAGAGAGAGAGAGAGAGAGAGAGAGAGAGAGAGAGAGAGAGAGAGAGAAAGAGAGAAGGCGGAAGAGAGGAGAAACAAAGAGAGCAAGGTGAGGAACGAGGGACTGTCACAATGAAGAAAGTGTGGCGCCGTTAGTGATAGATGAGGTACATGCAGATCTAACACGCTGGAGGACAATAAGATGTGAATAGTAAAGGAGGAGGATGCGCATGAAGAATAAGAAGAGTGGGAAAGAGAACGAAACAAGAGACTGTGTGATAACCTGATGTCGGTTTTCATTTTTATTTTTTTGGCAGCGAGTGAGAACGAGAAGGGAGCGGAGACAGAGACAGACAGACAAACAAACAGGCAGACAGACAGACAGACAGATAGATAGATAGATAGACAGATAGATAGATAGATAGACAGATAGATTGATAGATAGATAGATAGACAGACAAACAGAGAAATAGACAGACTGACAGACATAGGGAGTGGAGGAGAGGAAGGGAGAGATGAGAGACAAACATGCAGAAAGACATACAAAAAACATTTACCAGAGAGACGGACATAGAGAGAAAACAAAAAATAGTCCAGATAAAAATAAGGTTTATATATAAGGTACAAAACACGAACACACGAAAATAAGTACATTATAGAAGGAGGAAGCAATGAAACTAAG